TGGCCCTCCCGGGGTGCTTAGCTAGTACCAGGCCTCATTTTTGATCTTCACAGGAGCCTGATGATCGACGAGCGTTTCCTTTATAAACCCAGACTGCAAGGCCCGGCTCGTTAAAAGTGCATCTCCGGCCCTCCCTGGGGGCGCAGCGGGTTAAAGCTCAGCACTAAGGAGCTAAAGCCACTTCAGCATGAGTTCGATCCCTGCCCAGAGGTGACCCACAGGGCACAGCAGACCTCTCCTGACCTGACCGCCCGCTGCTCCCCTCAGCAGTGGACTTCATCAGTCGGCCTGTTCTGCTCCCTGCTGACTCTGGTGAATCCTCTCACTGTCCCTGCACCTCTGGCCTGTACCCCAGTTCTGTATGCATAAATAAATAAATTTAACAAAAAAAGTGCATCTCCAAAGTCACTCCACTCTCTCCCCTGCCCATAAGTGCCTGCTCACCGGGACCCGCCCCTGGGCTCACTGGGCAGTGAGGGGAGACAGAAGGTCGGGCGGGAGGGACAGTAGGATTTCTGCGAGGAGCTTTCCCTGGGCAGCCAGGGCCCTGGGCTCGCAGGTGCTCTGCTCAGGGGGAGTTTTCTGGTTGGCCCTTCAGCAGAGGAGCCCAGGGCCTCTGGAGATACTCCTTACCTGGCCACCGTTCCCCAAAACCCACCCACGTCTGCTCCCCCAAAACCACCCACGTCCGTTCCCCAAAACCCACCCACGTCCGTTCCCAGGCCGGGCAGGAGTCACTTTGGCCTTAGCTGCCAGGCAGCAGAAGGCTGTCCCCTGCACCGGGACATCCCTGGGGAAGCAGCACAGGGCTGATTACCTGCTGAGCAGGTGGGAGGCGGGTGTGTGTGTGTGCTGGAGACGCTCAGCTTTCGCCTGGATTCTGTGCTGGCCGGTTAAGCCAACTGAAGAGCAGAAGTGAAGGCGTTCTTAGGTAACACCTGGGTTTATGAGACCCAGCGACACAGGCCCTCGATGAGCACACTCAGGGGCTCAGTGAGCCCGGGCTTTGGTCTCGCTCGCCTGCACCCCACTGCACCCCAGTGTCTGCCACCGACCTGGCTTGCTCTCCAAGAGACGGTGTCTTGTGCTAACCTCTGGCTGCAGCAGGAAGGTCGGGCCCCAGGGCACCCGGAGTCATTGCAAAGGATCAGGAAACAGCCAGAAACGGGGAGATGTGGCCCTTCAAGAGGGGCCCCCAAGCGCCCTGCAGACCCTGGGGCTGCTGACGTGGCTCTGGGAGGGTGCTCCCTGGATCCTCGCTGGACAGAGCGAAAGCACTCAGAGAATGTGCAGAGACTGACGGGGGAAAACCCTGCGGGCAGCCCCATGCCTCTGCACGCGGCCTCCGCAGAGCTCAGAGCCAGCAAACACCTGCTGGGCGCTCTGCAGCCGGCCCGTCCCCGCAAGCCACACCACCTGCCTCGCCCTCTCCCACACGACGTCTGGTCTCACAGCAGGTGTGACTCTGCTCCCGGGGGGGTCGGCACCTCTGTGGGGTGAACACCTGTGCTCAACGCGGGGGCCTCAGAGCACCCCGGTTTCTGTGCAGGGGACCCCGGTGGAATGTGGAAGCTAGGCGGCTCCCCTCCCCACTCCTGCCCCTGGCCTCAGAGTGGCCCCGAGCTCCGAGCGTCCCAGGGAGCAGCCGTGCCCAGGCCAGAGGGCCTACGGGGCCCAGGCGGGTCTGTGTTTATCCAGACCAGAGTCTCCCGGTGATGCTAATGATTCCTGGCTAAATGCCATCCTGGGGCTGCTTCTCCCCACTTGTACCCCCACTCCGGCTGCAGGGCAACGCTGCCTTAAACAAGTAAAGGCTGAGCGGGATTACCTCAAAGTCTGGTCTTGTCCTCTCTCAAGCAGGCAGGAGGGACTGGTGACAGGGGCGGGGGACGGGAGAGGCCCAGGAGCACCCGATGAGGAGCGGGGGAGCAGGGAGGGAAAGTGGCCCCACTCTTAGCTGGCGGCCAGTGACCCTACCGAGGGGCCTTCTGGGTCCCTCTGTGGACACCACTCTGGCCCCCCGCTTTCCACTGCTGGGTGAGGAGGGCTCACCCCCAAAAAGCTTGCCAGGAAAAGCAAGGATGCTCAAGTCCTTCATTCACCCTCTGCTGGCTCTCAGGCCTTGCTCGCCCCTCCGTGGAGTTGCCTCTGGCCCCCCGAGAGGAGACTGGGACCCCAAGGTGCTGAGCTGAGCGCCAGCCCCGCCTCCCTCACAAGGGGGGTGGCAGGGTGGTGCTAGCTTCCCTTCAGCTCACCCACAGCACCCTTTGGGGTCCACTTCCTGTCTCCTTTCTGGCCCCTGCCTGCCCCCCCAACCTCCATTGCTGGGGGCCGGGGTGAGCAGTGACAGGGGCAGCTGTTCCTTTGCTCTCCTGCCTCACACCCCCAGGATGCCCAGCAGGCCGGGGCCCCCTCGCCACATGGAAGCTCACTGGACACACTCTCAGCTCTGAGATCTGGGGGCGACTTTTGGCCCCAGCACCTCTCCCCCACCCCCACACCTACGAGCGCCACAGGGAGCTTTCAGGGGAAGGTGCCGGGGTACAGGACTCAGCTAAGTCCCAAGGAGCTCTGGTGCCTCTTCCGGGACCCCCCTCTGCTTACGGCCCCTCCTGGGTGTCCCCCAAGGCGCTCGCTGCGCCTCCCCCCTGGGTCTTACCCGGGTGAGTGTAGGCCTCCCCAGAATCTGACCCCTCGGGCGCGCAGCAGCCCTGGCTGGGGTCTGACAGCCCCCCGAGGGCAATGGGGCCTGAGGCTACGCTGAGACCCAGTCCAGGAGGGGACCCCGAGTCCCGGGGGTGCCTGCGAGGGGCTGGCTCCCTGGGCCGGGTCAGACGTCCGCAGCAGTCTGGACACTCCTCCACGTCCTCAGGACCTGACAGTCCCCCTGGCCAGCGGGAACCCTGCGGTCCTCCGGCTTCCTCCGCTGCCGGCTCGGCCAGCCCTCGACCGCCCACTCCTCTGCCCGCCAAAGCTGAGACGACACGCTCCTCCCTCCCGGTCGGGGCCCTAGACGCCCCCACCTGGCGGGAAGCAGCCAAAGGCCTGGATCCCCGTGGCAGGGGGCAGTCAGGCAGCAGGGCCGGCCGGGAGGCAGGTGACCCTGCTCTGCCACCTGTGCTCTCAGCTGCCGGCGGGGTGACCGCACCCCGAGCCCCACGGGTGGGACGGTGAGCGGCGTCCTGACCGCAGGCAGCCTCAGTGGCACTTGGTCTTGGCTTCCTTGTTTTGTTTTCACTGGAGTCATTCTCTGCCCCAAGGCACAGGAGGCCGGCAAGGCTCCGCCCGGCGTCGAGGGTCCCATCACTGCAGGGTGCAGTCAGATGAGCACCCCGCACCCCTCCCCGGAATGGGACTTGGGAGACAGGGCCCAGGGGCCCCGCTGCCGCTTCAGAACGGAAATTTAAGACTTTCCAGCAGCCCCACTGCAGCGATGGAGCCCACGAGGCCCCACAGAATAGTATTTTGGGGGTAGTGAGACTGCTGAACGGATTTCCTTCTAAACAGGCGGCAGGGCGCTCCGGGGCGCAGCGGGTCGGAGCGCAGCACTGTGAGCCCCCACAGCCCCCACAGCACAGTTCGGTCCCGGCCAGGGAGGGACCCCAGGGCCCCGCAGACCCCCCTGTGTCCCCGCTGCCCCCTCAGCAGTGGGTTTCGGTCCATCTGCCTGTTCTGCTCCCCACCTGTCTCTGGGGAGCCCGCTCACCCCCCGCCCCTCTGGCCTGCACCCCAGAGTTGTGTGCATAAATAATCTTTAAAAAAGGGGGTTTCATTCTCTTCTTCTTCCCTTTCGCACTGGCTTGCCCTTCCCATTTTTCCTGCTTCCCCCAGCACTTCCCTGTTATATATATAGTTGGATCACTTGGCTAACTTTTACCTTTAGAGAATCACAAAGAGGTTCATTTTTTCTTTTTAGTAAAAAGGACGAACAGAAATATCTAAACTACCAGAAAAGGGAAATAAACGGCCTGACCCCGAGGCTCGAGCCTTGGCTTACTGCCCGTGTGCACGCG